GGTGGGGCCTCTGGGGCCTGTCCTCAGCAGGAACCTCTGGGACAGTCCCCAGGATCAGGGCAGGCTGACACGAGGCCTGGGCAGGCACGTTTGTCCCACGGAAGACTCTCTTGCAGGGCCGTGTGTTGGCCAAAGAGATACGAGGGGAAAAGGTGAGTGTTCCCTCAGTGAAACCCTCCTTGATCCTTCACCCAAAGGTCCTTTCTCCCCTTCCCCCTTCTTGAATGGGCTTCCTGAGGGCCAGGAGTGAGTCCAGTGAGCCCCCGGACTCTGCTTCCCTGTAGGGTCCCTGACCAAGCCCTCCCTCATGACCTGGACCAACCCATTGGTCCCTGCCAAGGGCAACGTGACACTGGGATGCTGGACTCCTGCTAGAGATGTGAGTTTAGTTCTCGGAAAGGGAAATTTTATTCTGAGTTCTTTGAAAGCATCTGGTCCTGCAGAATACCTGGCCAAATTTTACCGCACTGATATATACAACACAGTGATGCTGGTGAGTACACCTATGAGTACCACACACGGAAGGTCCCCTACAGAGCATGACAGAGCTGCGATGCTCTTCTACTATTGGTGACAGGTGAGAAGAGGGTGCTTTAGGATGGCATATGGGGAAGCAGGGATGAGGGAGGAAGCAGAAGAAGAGAAGGAGGATGGGATTCCGTCTCCAGAGTAGTCAATGGGGTTGATGGAGACAGGATCACAATTAAACACCGGGGCTGGGTGTAGAGGCTTAGACCTGTCATTCCAGCACTTTGGGAGGCTGAAGCAGGAGGATCACTTGAGCCCAGGGGTTCAAGACCAGCCTAGGCAACATAACGAGACTTCGTCACTATAAAAGTAAAAAAATTAGCTGGGCATGGTGGCACAGGCCTGTAATCCCAGCTACTCAGGAGGCTGAGGTGGGAGGATTGCCTGAACTCAGCGGTCGAAGCTATGGTGAGCCCTGATCGTGCAACTGCACTCCAGTCTAGGTGACAGAGTAAGACCCTGTCTAAAGAAAAAAAAAAAGAATAGACTGCTTGGGTTTTTTCAGGACTTGTAGGAGGGAACTCCCCACACTGGAGTTGGGAGAGGGTGAGCTTGGGGATCTTTGATTTACTCCAACTCCAGAACAAAGGTGAGGGGTCCTAGGCTTCCCCTATGACCTCAGAGGCTACTTTCTCTTACAAGGCCTGTGTGCCTAAACCAAACTTCCAAGCCCAGCAGAGTCGTATCACGCCTCCAGGAGAGATGGTGACTCTACAATGCCAGAGGCCAGATCATTTTATTGGGCTTCACATGTTTGCTCTACTGAAGGCGGGGACCCCATCACCCATCCAGTGTCAGGGCTCACAGGAGAACGGGGTGGAGTTCTCCCTCCAGAATGTAGCAGTCAGGGACACCAGGAACTACAGATGCGTGTACTACCAGGCAGCAGTCCCTTTCTGAGCCTCAGATTCCAGCACTCGTCTTGAGATCTGGATGGTAGGTAAGATTGTGCAAGATTTTTAGGAGATGTTTTCTTAAAAATTAAATCAGAGCCATCATCGTTATTCGTTGAGGTATGATAATTCAATTCACAAACTTGCCACCGTGTGCTTCTATGGGTAGCCCTGTACAAATCACTGTATTGGAACACCCTCCTTCCACACCTGATCTGGCCCCCAATGACTTTTTTCTTCACTCAAAGATAAGGAAACTATTGAAAGGAAGACATTTGAGGACCTTCAGGACATCAAAGGTAATACAACGATGGCTCTGATGGCCATTCCAGAAAAAGAGTTCTAAAATTGCTTTGACAGGTAGACTAGGCGCTGGTGTCAGTGCATAGCTTCCTAAGGGGAGTCCCTCGAAGGTGACTGTAGAGAGATTCAGCAATGAGGTATGGAGCACTTTTTCTAGGATGGTTGATGAACTTAGTTGTCGGAGACCGTATACAGCCCAGTGAATTTGGGGATAGGTATTCACCCATGAAACTATCACCACCATAAGGTTATAGATGTATCCATCACCTCCAAAAGCTTTCTCCTGTGCTGCTTATCATTATTATCTTCTGTCGTAAAAATGCCTAACGTGAGATCTACCCTCTTAGCAAATTTTAAGCAACAACAGTCTTGTTAGTTGAGAGCATCATAGTATATAGTATCAGGGAGGGCTTTAAAAAATGGAATTATCTTTTGGAAGGCAGTCCCCATGTAGTATGGGCTTCCTCCACTACGTAAGTGTTCTAGGAACCCGTCAATTTTTATCTGGAAGTTTTGAGAAGGTTGAGTCACAATTTGCGGAAGAAACGTTCTGAGTTGTGGCAAACAGTTGACTGTTTCCTCCACCATGACAACACATCCACCCACATCATGCTGAGTATTCAGCAGTTTTGGACCAAAAAACAGCGTGACCCTTGTGCCCCATCCTCCCTATTCACCCAATCTCACCCCAAGCAACTTTTTAATGTTTTCCTGGGCGAAAAAAGTCCTCAAAGGGAAATGTTTTACCGATGTGGAAGAGGTGAAACAAAAAATGGCAGAAGCACTAAAAGGCATCAGAACTAATGAGTTTCAAAAACTGTTTTGTATTGGATTAATCCAATCTGATAAAAACGAAAAAAAAAACTGCTTTGAGCAGTGGAAAAAGCATCTTGATAGGTGTGTTGCATCAGATGAAGAGTACTTGGAAGGTGACTGAAATTTAAGCATGAAAGAATAAATACACACGTTTTAAAAAATAAATTCTGGCTTTTGGGTGCCCCCCTACATCTCCAGAACTTGTCTGAACTTCTTGCCTGCCTGAAACTCTGTACCTTGTGACCGTCATCTTCCCATTTGCCCCGACAACCAACAGTCTGTTCTTTGCATCCATAAGTTTATCTATTTTAGATTGCACCTGTAAGCTCTTACAATATTTCTCTTTCTGTGCCTGGCTTGTTTCCCTTAGCATAATGTTCTCTGGGTTCATCCATGTTGTCGCAGTGACAGGATTTACTCTCTCTCTTTTTTTTTTTTTTTTTTTTTTTGAGTAGGAGTCTCACTGCTGCCCAGGCTGGAGTGCAGTGGCATACTCATGGCCACCGCAGCCTCGACCTGCTGGACTCAGGAGATCTTTCTGCCTCGGTCTTCCAAATAGCTGGGACTACAGGTGTGTGCCATCACCCCAGCTAATTTTTTGATTTATTGTAGAGACGAGGTCTCGCCTAGTTGCCCAGGCTGGTCTTGAATCCCTTGGCTCAAGCAATCATCCTCTTGTCTCAGTCTCCCAAAGTGCTGGAATCTCAGGCGTAAGCCACCGTGCCCAGCCTGTATTTTCTTTTAAACGACTTACCCCATATTGCTAGAGATGAAAATGGTGTCAACGAGCACAGCCAGGAGAACTAGGAGCAGAAATGCAGAGAACATAGAAGATAAAGGTCAGAAAAAGAAAATTCCAGATGTGCTTCCCAAAGCTTTATTGGGTTGCAATTGGAGTAAAACATCGCACATATTTAATGTCTACATTTTGATGTGTTTGAACCTGTGATACCTGCACCACAATCAAGACACTAAACAAGCCCATCCCTTTTTTTTCATATCCATCTTCTTAACATACAACAGTTTGGATGAATCTTCCAGACATTATGCTGAATGAGAAAGGTCTGGTTCCATGACCAGGTGTGGTGGCTTATGCCTGTAATCCCAACTTTGGGAGGCTGAGGCAGGAAAATTGCTTGAGCCCAGGAGTTTGAGACCAGTCTGGGCAGCATAGTCAGAACTCATCTCTACAAAAAAAAAAAAAAAGGAGGGGGAGGAGAAAGGTCAACCTGAAAAGGTGAGGCAGTGTACGATTCCATTTGTACACAATTCTCAAAGTGGCAAAGTTGGAGAGATGTGGAACAGGTCAGTGATTGCTACGGTGCAGGACTGAGAATGGGGAGAGGGATGATTAAGGGACAGCAGAAGGGATTTCTCTGTGGTGGTGGGGGGACACTCCTACATCTTGACCGTGATGGTGGTTCTATAAAGCTGTACGGTTGATAAAATGTCAAGAAGTATACCCACAGACATACCAGAGAAAGGAAAAGGAGATGGAGGGAAGAGAGGGAGGGAGGGGGGAGGAGGGAAAGAAGGAGGGAGTGGGAGGAGGAGGGGGACCACAGAGAGGGGGAAGGGAGGAGGCAAGAGACCCCAGGAAGAGGGGAGAGACCCGGTGCTCTAGCCCCTCAACGGTATGGCCAGTGCCAGCTTCCTGGTTTTGACACCCACGTATTTCGATGTTATCCTCAAAGCTTGGTGTGGGTACCCGGAGACTCCGCTGTTTTTTGTGACGCTACAGCTGTTTCAAAATAAAAGTCATTCTTAGAGAAGCACGGTGGTTCACGCCTGTCATCTCGGAGGTTTGGGGGGCTGAGGCAAGAGGATTGCCTGAGCCCACAAGTTTGAGACCAGTCTGTCCAATTTTTCTTTTTTCTTTTTTAAAAAGGAGGATTTATTGAGAGGACAGAAAAGCTCCCACAGTGGAAGGGGACCCAAGGGGGTTGCCCCACAGTTCTTCTTTTTTGAGTAAGAATCTCACTCTGTTGCCCATGCTGGAGTGCGGTGGCACACTCACAGCCACTGCGGCCTTCTCTCTACAATTCATCAAAAAATCAGTCGGGCGTGGTGGTACATGCCTGTAGTTCCAGCTACTTGGAAGGCTGAGGAGGAAGGATCGCTGCGAGCACGTGCCACCGCACCCCAGCCTGGATGACAGAGTGAGTCTCTGACTCACCAAAAAAAAGTTATTCTTATAAAAATGCCTAGGGTAGGACTTCAAATGAGGCAGGACAGCTCAGGGTGGGTGGAGCCACACAGGACTGGGGAGTAATGTCACTCATGACTTCTTGCTTCCTGTGTTGGTTGCAAGAAGGAGACTATACAAGGGGACAGAGGACAGGGCATCAGAGCAGAGCCTCACCCTGCAGGTAGGGAGGAAGCTGGAGTCACCCTGGGTCTCAGGCTCCTCCTCTGAACTGCCAGACTGAAGAGGCCTCTGGGCTCAGGCAGGAGGACACTATGGTCACAGAACTTCTGGTCTTGCTCTGCCTGGGTGAGTCTCCAGCCCTGGGACGTACGGGTGTGAATGGGCAAGAAAAATTCATAGGAGAGGGGACGTGAAGGTGGGAAATGCAGCGAGTGTGGACATGGTGATTTCCAGGGATTGAGTCCTGGAATAGGGCAGAGTCTGCAGGTGTCACAGGGTTCCTTCTGGTGCCCGCTTATGAATGGTGAGGAGGCAGGGGTGCAGAGACTGGTGACACCCTCTGTTTACTCAGCATCCTCTAAACACGATATCTGCCCTGGGATTTCCTTGAAATATTAGAGGGCTGGATGGAAGGAGCTACAGGGTACAGATCTGGGGGGTAAGAGGAAAATTTTCTGGTCAAACTTATCCTTCAGCTGAGTTTAACCATCCTCCGTTTGAGCCCAATGCAGTTAAACTAGACCTCAGGCCGGGTGTGGTGGCTCATGCCAGCCATCCCAGCACTTTGGGAGGTGGAAGCAAGAGAATTGCTTGAGTCCAGGGGTTTGAGACCACCCTGGGCAACTTGGCGAGACCTCGCCTCTACAATTAAAAATAAATTAGCTGGGCTTGGTGGTGCATGCCTGTGGTTCCAGCTACTTGGAAGACTGAGGTGAACCTGAGCAGGTCAAGGCTGTGGTGGCTGTGAGCGTGCCACTGCACTCCAGCCTGGGCGACAGAGTGAGACTCCTACTCAAAATAGAAAAAAAAGACAGACCTCAGATTGTAAAAAAGAAGATCTGTCCAGGCATGGTGGCTCATGCCTGTCATCCCAGCTCTTTGGGAGGCCGAGGAGGGAGGATTACTTGAGCTCAGGAGGTTGAGACCAGCCTGGGCAACATAGCAAGACTGCATCTAGAAAGAAAGAAAGAAAGAAAGAAAGAAAGAAAGAAAGAAAGAAAGAAAGAAAGAAAGAAAGAAAGAAAGAAAGAAAGAAAGAAAGTTAGCTAGGTGTGGTGGCGCACACCTGTAGTCCCATCTACTTGAGAGGCTGAGGTGGGAGGATCACTTGACCCTAGGAGGTCGAGGCTGTGGTGATCCATAAATATGCCACCATACTCCAGCCTGGGTGACAGAGTGGGACTCCAACTCAAAAAAAAAAACAAAACAAGGAAGATCTGGATCATAATCTTGACTCCATCCCATAGGAGCAAGCCCCCAGTTCCTCCTTGGTGTGGTGGGGGGTGTGGTGAACATCAATGTGCTTCATCTCTCTAGTTTCTTCCTCTTTTTCTTGGTGCAGCCCTTCCCTTTGGGGCCAGTTGTGCCTCCCTAAACACAGTTGTGCCTTTGAGATGACTGTGGGTCACCATGCCCAAACCTCCAGCTGCTGGGCGCAGTTAAATGGGCAATCCGTAGGATGACCTCCTCCACCCTGTGGTTACCCTAGCAAAATGCCTCAAGCCTGGTGGTTTACAAGAAAAATTTAGTCTCTCCAAGCTGTGGAGACCAGAACCCTGAAATCAAGATGTTGGCCAGGTGTCGTGGCTCACACTCGTAATCCCAACACTTTGGAAGGTTGAGGCAGGAGGATTGCGTGAACCCAGGAGTTCGAGACCAGCCTGGAAAACACAGCAAAACATCATCTCTATAATAAATTAAAAAATTAGCCAAATGTGGTGGTGTGTGCCTGTAGTCCCAGCAGCTTGAGAGGCTGAAGTGGGAGGACTGCTTGAGCCCGGGAGTTTGAGGCTGCACTGAGCTGTGATTGCACCTGGGCAACAGAGTGAGACTTTGACTAAAAAAAAAAAAAAAATTAAGAAACAGATGTCCTGAAACTCTTGTGGCCCCAGAGAAACTCTAGCTTCTAGAAACTGATGTCCCGTTTCCCTCAAGTTTTATGGTGGTCCCTTCCCAAAGGGGAACATAAGGCACAGGGCACAGAGGAGGGGGCAGTTCTACCGTAAGTATGAAGCAAAGCTACAAGAGCGTTTGACCCCAGAAAACATCTAGAAGGGAGAGCAAATTCTCTCTGTTGGAATGAGGAAGGAAACCCACCCCTCTCCCTCCACAGTAAAATAACCTTCGTGGTTTTTAAACAACAAGGGTAAAAACTGCCATCAGGGAAAATACGGGAAGAAAACGTACACAAATGTTGAATGACTTCTTGATGGTGACAGAAGAAGTGATCATGAAAGCAAGCCAATAAGTCAGAAAGGGTCGCTGGAATTTTCTGCATATGCTTAACTCCTGAGTGATAAACAGTAGAGCAAACTAAAAGGTAAAAGGTAAACCGGGAGACATATCTGCAAGGAATACGACAGACCTTTGACACACTAGTCATGCTTTCTCTGTGTAATCTGTACTCAGAGATAAGCACATCACTTATCTCTCACTGAGATTTCTCTTCCAGGGCTGTGTCTGGGCTCTGAAGATGAGAAAAAGAAGGGTGAGTTTTTGCCCACTTAGTTTAAGTTGTGCCTTTGAGATGACTATTTACACCTGCATCCCATGTTTCCTGATTTGTTTATGTATATATTTATTTATTCTCTCTCTCTCTCTCTTTCTCTCTCTTTTGAATCAGGGTCTCACTCTGTCACCCAGACTGGAGTACAGTGGCACAATCCTGCCTCACGCATAGCCTTAACTTCTTGGGCTCAGCCTCCCAAGTAGCTGATACAACAGGCGTAAAGGCGTGTGTTACCACACCTGTTTAATTTTCTGGTTTTTTTTTTTTTGTTTTTTTTTTGCAGAGATGAGTCTCACTATGTTGCCCAGGCTGGTCTCAAACTCCTGGGCTCAAGCAGTCCTCCTGCCTCTGCCTCCCAAAATGCTGGGATGACCGGTATGAGCCACTGCTCTCGATCCACTTTTTTCTTTAATCCTCTGAATTCCAGAAGGGCTTTCATGGTCATCAAGAGGCAGACTCAAATTAACTCTGAATTCTTTCCAGAGACACTTCCCAAGCCGTCCCTCAGCACCAGGACCAGCTTAGTGGTTGAAAGGAAAAGCAAGACTCTGAAGTGCCAGGCTCATTTGCAGAATGTGACATTCATGCTGAGGAAGTTGCACGACTTTGAGTACCCACAAGAGCAGAGCTCAGCAGGAAACAAAGCTGAATTTCCCAGCACTGACCTGGAGCCCAAGGATGCTGAGAGGTACTTTTGTGCCTACAAGACAACAGCCTCCCATGAGTGGTCAGAAAACAATGAACTCTTTCAGTTGATGGCTACAGGTGAGAAGGGCAACCTTAGATTTGCTCTTTGATGTGCATATGTCTTTTCCTGTGGTGGGAGCTGACTGGGACCCAGGGGACAAAAAGATAGATGCAATATCTTAAAAGTGGGAACTTTGGGTACAGTGGCTCACACCTGTAATCCCAGGACTTTGGGAGGCCAAGGTGAGAGGACTGCTTGAGCCAGGTGTTTGAGACCAGCCTGGGCAATATAGTGAGACCTCATCTCTCCAAAAAATTTTTTAAAAATTAGCCGGGCATGGTGGCACATGCCTGTAGTCCCAGCAACTTGGAAGGCTGAGGTGGAAGGATCACCAGAGCTCAGGAGGTTGAGGCTGCAGTGAGCCATGATTTGTGCCACTGCACTCCAGCCTGGGCAACAGAGTGAGACCCTAAATGAGAGAAAGCAAACAAGAAAGCAAGGAAGAAGGAAGGAAGAGAGGGAGAGAGAGAGTGAGAGAGAGAGAAAGAGAAAGAGAGAGAGAGAGAAGGAAGGAAGGAAGGAAGGAAGGAAGGAAGGAAGGAAGGAAGGAAAAGAAAAGAAAGAGGAAATAGGGGACCATGGAAATGGTCGAGTGTGGGTGTTGCCAGAGAGGAGGTCTCTCTAATGGAGAGAGAGGAGGCTTCAACTCTTGTCTGAGGTCTTGACTTTGCTGCAAGAAAAAATTTGAGAGTGAATCACCAAGTCAGTGAGTAAAAGCAGAGTTGGTTAAGGCGAGAAAGTGGACACTCCAAAGGAAGAGAGTACAACTAGTCTCAGAGCCCCAGGAGGGTCTTGAAGACTTGATTTTTGTCTCCTCTACCTTCAGGGAGGTGGTTGGGAGGGGGTGAGAGTTGTGAGGGCCATGGATTTGCCTTTATTTGAGCAACTGAGCTGCATGATGATCTTCTGTTCTGCAGACAATCATGGAGGACTGCTTTGCTCTTCTGACTCCAACCATAAACACCCTAGAGGTGTTTTCCAGATTTTTAGTAATTTGGCCTCCTGTGCTTCTTGGATGACAAAACAGAGGTCACATTTTCCTGCACTTGCTAACCTGCCTCATGGAGACAAGATTGTAACCAGGGATTCGGGGGGGGGGTCCCAGTGATGTGGATGAAGGAGACTGTTAGAGAATATAGTTAGTAGAAAGTTTGGAGTACAGTGAGGTTGGCAGATCAAGAGATGATTTGCCAACAAAAGATAGTTTGTGACTGAGCATGGTGGCTCACGCCTAGTACTTTGGGAGACTGAGGCGGGATGATCGCTTGAGGCTTGGAGTTCGAGACCAGCCTGGGCAACATAGCTAGACCTCTTCTCTACAAAAAGTCAAAAAACTTAGCCAAGCATGGTGGCATGTGTCTGTAGTTCCAGCTACTCAGGAGGCTGAGGCAAAAGGATTGCCTGAACCCAGAAGTTGGAGGCTGCAGTGAGCCATGATTGTGCCACTGTACTTAAGACTGGGTGACAGAGTGAGACTTTGATTCAAAAAAAAAGAAAGGAAGAGAGGGAAGAAGGGAGGGAGGGAGGGAGGGAGGAAGAAAGAAAAGATCGTTTGTTACTTACAGGTCCCAAGAGGAAAAGGCATGCCAAATTATGGTGTGGAGGGAACTTTGTGGGGAAGCACCAGAGTCAGTGAGGAGGCAAAGGCAGAAGGAGTAAGAGCGGGGGAGGCAAGAGCTTTTATTGCACTGCTTTTTTGGGAAGGAACAGGCTTAGAATTGGCTCTGGAGCATAGAAGCTATGCCTGATTGTCTGGTACTTGGCCCTGGGGTGATTAAGAAGGAACAGTGACCCTGAATGTGAGAGCCTCAAAAAGGATTGGTTGGTTTGCATTTGAAAGGCATGCTCAGGGGCAAGCTGTTTACTATCTCTAAAAATTAACTAACCCTGAGAGGGGCAGTCTCTTCAAGGTCAGCAAGTCCCCTAGATGTCAAAGCATTTAATACAGAAAATAAAAGACACGGTTGATACAGAGAGATGGAGGATATATAAGGGAGTCACCGCCCAAAACTAGAATTTGTTTATTAAATTGTGTATTTACTCTTACATGTTTAAACTTCAGTCAACTTCTAAGGACTCTCTGTTTGATGCAATACATCTATAGAGGCATTTTTTCCACTATTCAAAACAGTTTTTGAACTCATCTATCTTGATGCCTTTTAGTGCTTCTGCTGTTTTTTGTTTCACCTCTTCTACATTGGCAACGCGTTTCCCTTTGAAGACCTTTTTTCATCTGTGAGAAGCAAAAAAAAAAAAGTCACTTGGAGCAAGATCGGGTGAACAGGGAGGGTGGGATGTGAGGGTCATGATGTTTTGTGTCAAAAACTGCTGAACACTCCGTCCAGGGTGGGCAGGTGTGTTGTTACAGTGGAAGAACCAGTCACCTGTTTGCCACAATTTGGGATGTTTCTTCCACAATGCAGCCTCTCACAACAATGCCAGCTGGTACACTGATACTGATGGGTTCCTAGAACACTTTCCTAGTGAGGAAAGCCTGTATTACAAGGGGCCCTCCCTCCAAAAAATAATTCCGGGTATTTTAGGGGTTCCCCTTGTACATAGTCCCCAAGTGCAGTAGAAAATGGAAAGCCCTGGCCCTTCCCTTTACCTTCATTGCCTTGTCTTCTTTAGGGTCACTTCTAGAACATTTCCCCTCCATCAGCGGAGACCCTGGGTTGTGGCCAGGTCTCAGGACACTCCAATGTTTGATTCCACACAACGGAAATGAATGTATCATAAATGTTCTCCTGACAACGGAGATCCCAGAAGTCAAGAAAGGAGGAAAAAACCAAACTGATTTCATGCTCCGGAAAGTGACAAGCAATGATAGTGGAAACTACAGCTGTGTATGTTACCACAATGACTCACAACACTTGGGCCCTTTTCCCAGCAACAACCAGGAGATCTTGGTGACAGGTGAGAATGACACTGATGTTTAACAGGCATCCAGCATTTTCTATGTTCCGGTCTCCATGACAATGAACTTCTATGAACTATTTCAATCTTTACTTTCTTTGAGGATGGTTGTGTTCCTAACTTCTTTGTGCTTATAGAGATTAGGTGACCTTCTTGGTGTCACAGAGACAAGTAGTTTCACGGTATCTGTTTGTACATAAATGCAGAATTTACTTTTTTATGCTAGGGAAGAAGAGACAGAAAGAGTGACCAGCACTCTATGAGGGATGTAGGGAAGGTGAATAATGGAACGTGGAACGAAAAGAACTCACTGTGTGGGAAAGCATGGCAGTCATGGTGCAGAGGGTTGGAAAAAATAATGAAGGCAATGGAAGGAAGATGCGCGTGGGAGAATTGTGATATAGTGACTTGAGATCACAAGTTAAAGGAATAAGGAATAGTTCTGCATCACTTTCATCCATCCCTTCATTCACCCAACCATCCATCCCACTAACCATCCATCCATCCCTCCACCCACCCATCTACCCACCCATCCATCCACTTACCCAATCCTCCATCTACCCAACCACCCACTCACCCCATCCATCCATCCATCCACTCATTTAGTCCTCCACCCACTCACTCCATCTATCCATCCATCCATCCATCCATCCATCCATCCATCCACTCACCTCATCCACAAATTCATCCATACACTCAACCTTCCACCCACCCATCCACCCACTCACTGTATCTATCTGTCCACCCATCCATCTACCCATCCATTCACCCATCCAACCCAGTCATCCACCCAACCCTCCACCTATCCATCCACTCACTCACCCCATCCATCCATCCATTCATTCATCCATCCATCCACTCATCCAACCCTTCACCCACTCACCCTATCCATCCATCCATCCATCCACTCACCCCATCCACAAATCCATCCATACACTCAACCTTCCACCCACCCATCCACCCACTCACTGCATCCATCCATCCACCCATCCATTCACCCATCCAACCCATCCATCCACCCAACCTTCCACCTATCCATCCACTCACTCACCTCATCCATCCATCATCCATCCATCCATCCATCCATCCACTCATCCAACCCTCCACCCACTCACCCTATCCATCCATCCATCCACCCATCCATCCACCCAACTACCCACTTACCTCATCCACAAATCCATCCATACACCCATCTACCCACTCATCCCATCCACAAATCCATCCATACACTCAACCTTCCACCCACCCATCCACCCACTCACTCCATCCAACCATCCAACCATCCATCCATCCATCCACCCATCCATTTACCAACCCAACCACCCACCCACCCATCTATCCACCCAATTCTCTACCCACTTACCTCATCTATTCATCCATCCATTAATCATTCAACAATATTGTTCAATTGATTACAGTTGTTTACAACCAATATGTCAGGTTGGTTGTATCATGAAGAATCCCTGGAGAAGCCTCACAATCATGACTGCAGTGTAGAAATAGCCTTATAGCAGCATCAGTGGCTTATCCTGGGGCCGGGAGTCCTCAGCGCACCTGGACTTTGTCAATCAGGTGAGCCTCCAAGGCTGGCTCCCCACACTGGTACATAATGAGAAACTGAGCACTTAATATTTTACCTCTGATTACCCTCTTTCTAAAGCTCATAATCATTGATGCTCCAACAATGTGCTCATCATTCTGACATTGATTTCATATTATATCCCTGATAACTTTTTTTGACATCTTAATAATTGTCATACCCACACTTAGGTTTTAGCCCTACAAACCTGGCAATAAATTGCCACTTCCCAATTATGTTCTCTGACAGATCATTCACTTTCCCCTGATTTCTTCTTCTCTACGTCAGCTGTACCATTACATCAAGAGAGGGTTACAGAGTCAATTTTCAGTGGTTCATTTTCCATGTCAGCCTTCCACATATCGTCTGTGTGCTGCTTTGCAAATCACTTTATTATAAGATTCCTTACTTATTACAAAATGGGCATAGGAATGCTTCTGTTGCAGAAGAAAATTAATTTAAAGAACCTGGCACAAAATGACTGTTCTTTCACCCTACAAACACTACAAACACAGATACTTTAGTGTGTCCTGGGCATACAATACTAGCTGAGGTGGACTGAGTCTCTGGGCCAGCAGGAGCTTACATTCTCATTTGGAAGAAAAAAATAAGAACAAGATACGAGATTAATTTTTTAAAAAACACATTATAGATGGAGAATAACTGTGAGAGAC